CTGGCCAGCAAACAATGAACAGTGGAAGAAACTGTCGGCCAGAAATATCAGGGGTCAGGGTTGCTGGCAATTCACCTGGTATCATGACAAAAGCAAAGAGTTTTTAGTGTAGACTTTTCTCATTAATACTATTGACTCTGTTAACTACATGCATACATTTAAACTTAGAAGGGTTGATAACTAATCGCTGAGATTAACCTGGGAACTAAGGAGCCAGCTGCAGCATCAGGTACCTCCATGCTTTTGGTTTACACAGCTCCTCAGGGTGGCAAGTTTTGCATATGAAAACCTAAAAGAAACGGAGTCATCCCAACCTGCTGTACTTCACCACAATGCTTAGAATATTCCTGCATTTAAAACTGCTATCTCAAAAAAGTGAAAGAGATTGATAGAACTGGGTTAAGTCCTCTCAGGCTGGATTTAAGGAGTTTCAAGTGCTAGTTCATCTCCCAAAAGTCATAGAATCGAATCATAGAATAATTATCAAGTTGGAAGGGACCTTAAAGATCATCAAGTTCCAACCCCCCTGCCACGGGCAGAGACACCTCCCACTAGAGCAGGTTACTCAAAGCCCCATCCAGCCTGGTCTTCTGGTTCCAGCAGAAGCCATTCTGCAAGGATCAACCCTCGCTCTGATGTTAACCCAATTTTCATGACACTGGAAAGATCTGCTTGAAACACTCTCTTCATGATAAATTCACCTCTCTACTGTCTGAGCTGCTCTCATTCTAATTGTAACAGCTTTTATTCCTGTGACAACTGGAAAAAAAATAGCCAATTTTTAATGCTCTATTATCAATTTAAGTCATTAGCAGATGTGTTTACCTCTACTAGGTTTCTTCTTGATAATTTTTAATCAGTAGAAATTGCAGGAAATCAAACCCTTCCCCTTTCCTTTTCTCATTCCTGCAGGCTTAAAAATATAAAAATCAAAATTCAAAATGAAAACAGCCAATGTGTCAGATGAGCATACCTACGTGTCTGTGATCATCACCAGGGAGCAGAGTGGAAATAAGCACAAAGCAGCTGATAAAAACCTTCCCTGTTTATGTCTGCACAGCCATTCCTTCAGTATTTCTGAGCTAATAAATATTCAGTATATTTTTTTTAAACCCAAGCTGCACAGTTTATACATTATAAAACCATGTTTACCTTTTATCCATACTGCATATACTAAAAGCAGAAGGTTGGGATGCTTTCACTAAGAAATGGTGAAAAGTCCTAAATTAGTATAGAAAACATGCATTATATCAAGAGACCTCAAGCACTGGATATTTGTGCATAATCTCAACATCATCCATTAAGTTACCCGTTTATATAGTTTGGCACTAGTATAAATAATAAAAGGCTTTTTATATTTATCGCTATTTTAAAACGGTAAAGACTGAAAATCTTCATGGAACTGTTTGAATATGGGAATGTTACTTGAGAGCTGGTACGTGACATGTATTTTATAGAATGGAATTAACTGCACGTTCACTTACAACTGTTTATCAATTGAGCTGAAGGTAGACAGCCATTTAGTTCCAAAAAAACCCCAAAAAACAACCCAAACAAAACCAAAAAAACCAACTGACATTACAAACCACATTAAAGGTGACATTTTAACCACTGAATGGAGTACACCTTCCTATGGAAGCTGAGCTCAGCTACCGAAACACGTTTCTTAAAGCAGCGTAAGTCATTCACTTTCATACTTCCAGCATTATAGGCAACGCATCCTTCATGTTATTTTAGCCCACGAGCAGTGGGTTTGCAGCAGAATTGGTATAATGCACTGTTTCAGGGAATAACGCAATCACCAGAACAGGTAAAAGAAGAAAAACCTCTCCCACAACTGTTTCATTACATAGACTTAACACAGATGCATTAAGAAGCTTTAAAGCTTTTGGTTTTAAATTATGATTTTTATTATTAAAAACCCCAGGGATTCATCATGTTCCTCCAATAGCTCCCCACCTTCCTAGCTTCACAAGAGAGTTCTGAACACATTAGTTGAAAAAAATTAGGAGAAACATATTTTGTCCCACTGCTTCACTTCTATCTGGAACTTTACTTGCAAAAAAGACCAACAGGAGTTTAAAGTCACCTTTTTTTTTTGTGACAGTAGCATGTATTCAGGCTTGCTTAATAGCAGTTTATTCCTCCTCCTCCAGCAGTTGAGACAAGCCACACCAGGGGCAATCTGGCCATTTCCAAAAAACTAGAGGTCAAACTAAAAACAAGTAGTAGTCAGACACCCTGCCTGTCGTAGGATGACTACCAGGGGGCCTGCCCATAGCGTAAGGGAAGCACAGTAAATATTTTTAGGCCCTGAATTATTGTCCTGAAAGCTATTAAATAGGAAATACATTTCAGCCAACTCACCATGTAAGTAACCATGTAAAACACAAATACTTGTCCAAATTACACAGTTTATTATTATTGATCAAGTGTCATAGGATGCACTAAAACTTTCCTTTAGGTGTCCCCTATACAACAGCAAACATTTAGAAGGAATGCACATAATGGTTGAGGGGTTCCCTCCTGCCTCTGGCTGGCCGGGTGTCCAGCATCCCCAACTTGCCTTCAGGAAGGGGAGCGCAATGGAGGCCGTTGGTAGGAGCACACCTCGCGACACGTCCCAGACTTTATTACCAATGAGTAAGGCACATTGTTTGTGACACAGATATTTCCACAGGCTTGTTCATTAATAGCTTCAGCTGTACGAAGCAGGAATCATACCATCTTTGAGTTTTGGGGTTTTTTTTTTCTCCTTTGTTTCATAGTAAACTTCTCCCTCCCTCAACCAACCAAAACACAAGAGCTTTGGCAACGCTTCAGAGCACAAAGCTGGTTTAGATCCCAGTTGATGGCCACCAACATAACATGGATTTTCAAATGCAATTTGAAAAAAACCCATTATATATTTAGCAATTTCACACTTCAACCCTCATACAACTGGCTTAAAATGGTGCTCTGCTTTGCAAGATGTACAAATGCAGTTTTGAGAAGAAAAAGAATACACATTTGTTAACCGCAGCAAATTCAAATCTTGCCAAAAGAACATAAGACAACTTAAATACTTGTAAGGGGAAAATTAAAATTCTGGCATCTAAGCAGGTTACCTAAAAGAAACCACAAGAACATGAGGAAACAAATTACCAAGTAAATACTGATCAGACACGGTTACCTGTAAAACAACGTAACCTTTCTGGAGGAGAGTAAGCAGCAGTGCTTCAAAATCTTCTTCAGACATTAAAAACAGTTTTGAGGAGAATCTCGACTTTATGCAGTAGTCAAAGACGTTTCAAAAGTTCATAATCAATTACACTTAGACTTGTTCCAGCATGAGCAAAATGGAAACCCAACACACTTAAAATCACTGCAGGAATATTTTTAGTCATCCTTTATATTACATACCCTGGTGTCAGAGATCAGGTCAACTCCCTCCACCAGGTGGTTTTCTATTTTCCTTCTGCAAAAAGACCCTACTTACAGCTGGATATGCAGATTTTCAGAAATACAAGTGGTCAGAGTACAGACAAGGAGGAATAACTGTTGAGGGATCAACTTGCGCCACGTACAACCAAGCAACCAACCAACCCTTTTTCATGCTCTGCGAATAAATCGGTCTCTTAAATTACGTTAACACCCACATAATAGTCTACAAGTATTTCTCATTCTCTCAATGGTTTACGCTGAAATTTTCCCAAAAATTCACATCTCAGAACTGCACAGTTCCATTACTTTAATTGATTAAATATAGATTAGCAGTGTTAGTGTAAGAAAAAAAATTTAATGGCACCAAAATCATTCAAATTAAATCAAGTAAGAAAACGTTGCAATGCACTTCAGCCAAACCGTCACAAATGATATGTTATATAAATACAGACAGGAGGTATCTGGCAGCTACAAATCCACCAATTCTGGAAGTGTCCAATTTCTCTAAAAAGCATAAACTGACAAATACTAATTAAACCTTTCCATTAAAAAAAAAAACCAAACCAAAAAACACCTAGTTTATTGCTTTTAAAGGTTCATTCTTTACATCAGAAACAGGCAAAGGCATATCAAAGAAAGTTACCTGGTTGTTGATGGCTTTTGATTATATTCACTTTTTCAAAAGAACCACTAAATAAAATTTTGAATGCAAACAGCTGACCGGCTCCCAACGTTACATGTTCTCACCCAAATGAACTAAGGCTTGTGCTTTCCAAGAGGGAAAGAAGGTATAATTTCCAAAAGGATAGCATTAACTACTTTCTTATGAGAAATCAGTACGGAACTAAAACCAGTGTTCCCACCAGAGAGAATACATTGAAAAAACAGACCAAGAATTGCAGGAGAGGCAGGAAAGCATTCGAGCTACGAAGACAGCCGTGTCACGGCATATGATACATGGAATGCAGATGGAAATGGAAATACGATGATCTGTACCGTGGGTGTAATTTTTATTAAAGCTTCCTGAAGTTTCTTTTTTTTGTGTGTGTGTGTATGTTTCAGAAAAGGCAAAAGTGGAACAGACATGAAAAAAGGTAAGAAACACAAAAGAGGAAAAAAACGCAAGAAAGCAAGAATTAAGACAGTAACTGCAAAAGCAAGACAAAGGACTGAGAAGTAGGACAGACTTCAGCAATGTGGTCTGAAAACTGCTCAGAGGTCAAGTAGGGAAAGTCAAAGTTATGCTCATTTCTCAAAAGAATCTGGAGGGGAGCTGAAGGGGAGGTGGGTAGAAGAGGGTTTTTTTTGTTTTTATTTTGGGGTCAGTGTTGTTTTTTTTAAAAGTAATACATACATACACAGTGCAAGCTTGTCTAGAGAAGTTGTACTACAGACCACAGAACTTACTCCCCTGCAACAAACGGAACACCTTGACCTCTCAAGTAAACTAAGCATACAAAAGTGTAAGAATAAAAGGTGCATGTAAAACCAGCAGCAATATTATGTTTGGCTTTCCACTACTTCTGCAAGTTACTGTACATATATTACATCACTATTATAGAAATGGCACAGCCTCAGACACTTTCCACATTTTATTTACATTTTAAGACTAACTTTAATCTCAATCACATATCCATACATTTCCTTTGTTTCACTAAAACTTAAATGCATGGTTTATTAGAACAAAGACTGTAAACAAATATTTGCCATGTCCGATACATGTAACACACAGGAGCTGCTTAACAGAAATTAATCCCCCCATTTTATAAATACAGGTATCAAAACAATCTTGAACATACTTTGTGACACTACTAGTAGTCGGCACCCACACCCTTGCAAAATTAAACAAGATGAGCAACGGTATTCACTGTACCTGCTACTTTAAAACAAATTTAACTGCAGCTCTTTTACTAAGCAAGATGGATAAAGCATGCCATTTATATTTTGCCTTCTCAAGAGATTATTTTCAGAAACATATATTATTCCACAGCAATCTGACACTTTCTGTCATGCTTTCATCTTGTAAAACCTGAATTCCAATTTTAGGCTATTTCAGGCTTATACTTAAATGACAGTGCCTCAATAAGAGAAAAAAATAATTGTGCTGCCTTTTTCTCCCATAGTGCCTGAAAACATATTGGGCATACATATATTATATATATTCTTACAAATGTCCAGGTCATGTATACCAGCTGAAATTCTTTTAATGTGTGGGTGTTTGCATCGTGAGATTTAATCAAGACATTAACATGAGTAGAAGGTTGTTGTTTTAAGACAGAAGTTTGAGAATCAGCTAAAATTAATTGTTGTAAGTTTGTCCCTCTGGAGGTTGTGGAAGCTTCATATTTTCTTTGGACATCATTAGACGTCTTAGCTCTTGAAGTACAACTTTAATGCTATAAGAATTTTGCCATTTTGCTAACACTGGTATGCTCCGTGCATCCACCTGGAAAAAGAAGAGAGAGTTGTAAGTTATGAGGAAATACACAAAAACTCTACATAAAAAACTGCTTTGACCTAATTTTTTTAAGAAAGGGCCTAAGCGTTCCCTGACACTTTCTCTGTTGCATAAGGTCCCTGTGTTCATAAAATACTTTAAGGAAAACAATCACATACTTACACACAGATACAGATTCTGCAATAAAATCCATGCAGGCAGACCCTTCCATCTGTGCTGCTACTAATATTAGTGAGAAGGGGTGGGGGGGAAGAGGAGATCAGCAAAGCATTCACTGCAAAACTGGAGCCGTATCTTGTAAAATTTATTAATTTATTTCAAATTACCCCCAAAAAAGAAAAAAGTAATCACCTTCATTATGCCAGTATATACACTTGGGTTTTCCTCAGTTCTTTAAAAGAACCTGCAACACAAGAGTCCGTAGAATACCTTTCTAAAGGAAAGCTTCCTTTGTTTTTCCCTTGCTACAAGTATCTTTAGTGATTTATTTCACATCAATATTACATGATGCTTCTGATATATTGAGAGTTACTAAGGAAACTAATAAAGTGCTTGAAATATTGAAATAACCGATTCATAATGTTTGGACATTTCTTAGTTCTTTGCATCCTTCTTAGAGTAAGTCATCTTACGGAGCCGTGAATATTACTGTACATCACTTACCAATTTGTATATGAACTGAAAGGAAAGGACATGGGACTTCTCCTATGCGTTTATAAAACCTGTGGGACAATTTACACAATTATATTATAACAGGGAGGTTTCCATAGGAAAGTCAGCAATTGAAAGTCAGCTTGGGAATTGTTTTGGCAGCAGGTAAGTCCTGGCCCTGCAAGGAGGAACTTAATAAGACAGAGGGGCCTACAGCTGTGCAACTGCAAAGCAGGCCCATGGGCAGGAACAGGGCTATTGCACGCTACTGAATTCCATTGGCAGAGTAGCACAGGCAGTTCACACGGCTATAAAAGTGCTGGAAACCCCTGCTTTATGATTTAGGCAGCATAAAACATCAAGAAGTTTCTTATCCCATCTTAATTAGGGCAAACTGAAAGAAAAAACAACACTGGAGTCAGAAATAAGAACGTTAACACAGACACTTTATTTCTAGATCGTTCGAAGCGAGGCTGGCTATTTTCAGAGCACCAGATGAGGCTGAACCTTTTTGTAGGAGGAACTTGAGGTTTGTATGCTGGCTCGGGCAGCTACACCAACCCAAGAAACTTCTGCTCCCTCTCACTAAAAGCACTTGTTCCTTTAGCAGTGCTACTGCCTGTCAGCTGAGGTGAACCACGAAATCTACGTGGAGCTGCTTTCTGACCTGAACTGATAGAACCCACCCAGTTTGAAAAAAAAACCACCTTGGAAAGAAATCCCTAACAGGACCCTTAATCCAATTCACAGCTCAGCACTATGAGCATTTCTCTTCACACAAATCGTGTTCTGCTCAGAGTTGAGAACCCCTTTAAAGTCAGTAGAGCTGCCAAAGACAGCATATAATCAAACCACAGTAAAAAAGACAGTCATATTACCTAACAGCTATTGCAAACATTAATAGGAAGAAAAGGAGCGTCAAAAGGAAAGCTCCGTTATGCAGCAAGACCATGCCAGTTTAAAACAAGCATGAGTATGAGTAATACAGAAAGGTTTTGAAAGTAATACTGGTCAGACCATCACTGCAATTCCTGGACTACTACTATTTCTTTTTTAAGGGGATATTTGGTTTAATGTGGCAGATAAGAGGCAATATCAGAGCAGAACAACCTTGCAACAGGAAAATGGGTTCTCTTTTCTTAAAGAGCAGACTATTAGATAAAACCACCAGTGAGTAAAAAGGGAAATTCTGATAAGAGATCACCAGTGTTATCAAGTAGCAGCTTAAGTAAGGCATCATTTAGCCTGAATCTTTGTTCTGAGGTACAAGCTCTTACAGATCCGTTCCTCTCCAATCCTTCTAGATAAGATTAAAGGAGGACACTCCAGAGTTTCTATCCAACAAGCTTGACTCAATAAACTAGGAACAACATGGATTCATTTCAGAAGTTAAAACAGTAAATATCACACTACTCAAAACTGTTCTCCATATAGAAAATGCCACGAGAAATGCACAAAACCACCGTTTTTCCTCCTGGAGTCCTACAGAAAGAAGAAAAACTTCAGGGTGCATAAGCATCACGGTAAGAAACAAGGGCTCAGTTCTTACGTTCACCTAGCATATAGCTGCAGACGTTTAAGAGCTTATTTCCCCTGTCTCTCACACAGACACTCTTATTAACATTTGTTAATACTTCACTGCATCTAACCTGACATCCTCTTCAACTTAGCAAGATGGAAAAAAATGTGAGAGTTCTCCCTGAATGCTTTGGTGGAAGTCCTTTGGCAGACCGGTAGTTTAAAAAAATCTCCATGTCAGTCTGAATTACAATACTTCCTACCTAAAGTAGCTGAGAAGTGTTCATATTATATTTCACTGGCCTGCCAAAAAAAACCAAACCAACAACCCAAACCAAAACAAAAAACTCCCAATAATCGCCCTGAGAAAAACAGGGGAGAAAAAAGCCACAGCATCAGGTAATGGTTGCAACAGAAGATTCCCAACCATTCCCAAGATGTGCACTTATTTGTGGCAACCCACGTGATAATAAACTGTTTTAGAAGACCACTGGTAAACCAACATGGATAAGAAGAAAGAGGTAGTTTTAGATTTTGGTAGGTTTGAGAAAGAAAATGAATATAATTATCTGTTCAAATAAAGAAAGGGTTAGCAAAAAATGGCCGGAAAGGCAGTTGCTCAGGGACTCCACAAATGAGTATCTTCAGCCTGGAAATTCTGTTTTCATACCATCTTCCTTTTCCTCGCTTCTCCTCAACTGTGCCTTTGTCATCTCTCTCAAGTCTGGAGACGTGCCTCAATTACAGCACATGGCAGTCAATCACCAGTGCTGTTCAAACAATGCAATTCTACATATGCTGGCTGTACTGGAATATGAGACCCAGGCACTTAGAAGTAAGCTCCTACAGCTTTCTTTCTTGGTTGGGAATTTGTAGCAAAAAATTCACAGACTGTAAACTCCACTTTAACAATGTTAATGCTTTCTGAGTAAAGACTGCTAAACATGACATTTTTGTTGCTGTTTATCTCAAATGTCTTTTCTGCAAGTCACCAACCTTTTTCATGACATCTTGCAGCAGTAAAGATTTTGGCTCAGGTTCTGGTTTTGGTGTCGCAGAATTTATTTCCAAGTCAGTGCACCATAAATTCATTTTATGAATAACAATTATAAGATATTTGGAAGAATGACACAAACTAGGTTCAAATCACACAAAAGCATTAGGTAACACTTAAGTACATAACCTGGGTCACAGAGGAAGAAATTTCAAAGTCACATAAAAGCTAGTAAAACTGCTGAAGACTATTTTATTCTGGGGATACACCACTGTAAATCTTTAAACAATAGCAAGAGAAGCAATATATGTAATGCATAACTGTTTTAATTCCAATTGTTTAGAAAAAAAATAATTTTACACAATGTTGCAAAGTATTCAGTGTTCATATGTTCCCAATATCTTTAAGGAGTAGCAAACTGCTTAGTCCGCAATAAACATACTCAAAGCAGTAACTGGACAACAGTTTACAGATTTATAGCTGACAGAGTCCCAAGTGAGTTTAAAGGAAACAAGTATTTCCAGCTGCAAATTGTATTTAAACAAACAGAAGTGATTAAAAATCCTGCAAGACAGACTGCTGAAGAGCTCTCTCACAGATGCAAAAATTAGCATCCTCAAAAGACCATGGGAAAATAAATAGCAAGTCAGAATGCAACCTGTGTTTTATCAATACAGGATACACAAGTCTCCAAGAGAAAAGTCCCAGGAGCATCAAGAATGATAATTTAAAAACAATTTTACAGCAGTGATGCCATTAGCACATAAAGACATTCTGTCCAGCCCTTCCTAAATACTTGGACTAGCTTTTCTAAACTTAGTACCCTAATTCTGCACACAAACGAAGTAGCTCCATAGCCAAACTGAAAAGCAGAAAACCACAAAAACAAACATGCAGATAAGAAAAGGCAGGCAATTTAACGGAGTGACTCAGAGCACTTAAGTTTAGTCTTTTGAGATAACAAACTCCTGAAGTAGCCCTATCCTTCCCTGCACTGAATTATCGAACAGCAGTGTCTGGGATCCCTGAAGATACGCTGCTGATGGAGAAGTTACTTGCAAGCAGAAGGCCTCTCTCAGAATAATCAAACAAAAGGTCAGTAAACTTGTAACTGTCAGGAGAGATAATATCATCACACACACGTGCACTTGTTATGCAAAGTATAAAGGGACTTGTAAGTCAAGAAGGTTGAGAACCACTGCCAAGGAAGCAGTTTGAGACTCGCTGCCTTAGACCACAATTAACTCTAGCACGTACTCCTCTTCCCCCTCCACCATTCACACTGGGGGTTCTACTTTTCCTCAGGTGTCAACTGGCACACACCGCCTGTAAAGTGTTCTTTAAGAACGTTACAAATGTTTTGAGTAGTCTGATAATCCTATGACACACAATTTTGGTTGCTGTTTATCTTTTCCGCAGGTCACCAACTTTTTCAACTTTAAGAAGCGTGATTAAAAGCTGGCCACGTGTCAAAAAACAGGACTCAGAAGCATGGGTAATAGGGCTTGTCTGAAGGTAATACCCTGTCGTTCACTATGCAGCAAACTGCTTGTGATCTATTATATGAAAGATGATCAGAAAGCGAGACAGCAGCTTGGAAGAAACACCAAGGAACTAAAATAGGAAGGAGCAACGTGAACCGTTCCAGGGATGCTGAAGGTGCCTCCAGTTTATCTGAAACATTTGGCACAACTCTAGTGGGAATAATGGTGAAATAAGCTAAAATGCAAGATACCAGGAAACTGGGCGCATTAAAAATTACACAATAAATGAGTTGTAAATTCATTAGTTATGAAAACTGTTTCTGTTACAAATCCTATCTAGTCCTATTTAAATCCACTAAAAAAAAAAAAAAAGTCTGTTTCTGTTACAAATCCTATCTAGTCCTATATAAATCCACTAAAAAAAAAGTTATGCATTTACATAGCAAATCCTCCATAAGATATACCAGTTTATAGAACTCTTGGGGGAAAATTGAATGAAGGTTCTCTCTAAGCTCATAAACTTATTAAAATCAAATTTTCCTGTTGCGATGATTGGATTTTAAGGGTGCTTCTAAAACCAGCAGGTGGATTTCTTGTCACAGTATTAACCCTGTTCCTCAACAAGCCAAAGAAGTGTAGACTTCTCCAAACAGATTGGTTTGGGAAATACCTGCCTTTGGGCTCTGCAGGTCTGAGACTCTGCTTCTGGAAACCAAGACCTACGCTCTCAGGCACGCACAGGTGAAGCAATGAGAGCATAATTCCTTTCTGATCCACAATAATACATGTTATTAGGGAGAGGTATGAAAATAATATTACAAACACACCAAAAAAGCTCTTCTGCATTCCAGATTTGCGGCTTTTGCTAGTCACCACCTCTTAATAAACATATAGTTATAAACAAGGCACAGTTGTGATGAAGGGCAACAGCTGGATTGTCGACAGCCATTTCAGTAAGATCTTCAGGTACAGTAACATTGTTGCCTATCCAAGAATTATTTTCAAATTAATTTTAGATTATCTCTTAAGTGTTAGTGCACTGGCTTGGGATGACCAACCAGTACACTACAATACCACCTACCGCGGCTCAAACAAATCCCTGAGAAACTCTCCCTCTGCTATCATCATTGAAATACTTAAGCTTCACATTTCAGTACTGTTAATTACACAAATGCAACTCCGTTTTTCTTTTAAATCCTGCAAATTATTTAAAATCTGAAGATGCTCTCTGACTCACCTTTAAGTATCACCTTAACCCAATTATTTTGCATTCACTAAAGACAAACATACACACAGACAAGTGTGATATATTATTGTATGTCCTGCTGATACACACATATACCATTGTAAATGCAAGACAGCTCGTCCCTCTTTTCACATGAGGTACTTCTGACTGAATCACAGGATTAAAGTACCCAGTGAATAATGGAGTAACAAACTTGCTTGAGCTGCTGCCATTGCTCATGTACGTGAGCTCCCCCCACCCTAAATGCAGGATCAGGGGAAGTAACTTATCGCAAATTGATCTTAAAATGAAAGTGATTACCATCTATATCAAAATATCCTAAGACTGAAGCTCAGAATCACCTTGGATTTGAATAAACTCAGTATAAAGAAAATAAAAGCTTAAATACATCAGTTCATTACAGATGAGTTACTACATCCAGAGTGAGACTCATCAGGAATAACCTCCATTTTTAATTAATGGAAACATCAGATAAAGTCTGTAATATTCCTGTTACAATATTTATCTAATCCCCTTTTATAGGAGTATTACAAGGGAAAAACGTACACACTGTTTAAATTATTTTTTTATTATTTGTTATTTTTTTCTGTTCAAAACTATAATCTTCAACTTCATTTTAAAGAAACAACTGTTCCAATACTATAAATAATGCTAATCTCATTGATAAGCCACTAAGAACGACTAACATTTTAAATACCTACAGATCTGAAGCAGTAGGCACCCAAAATTTGATTTAAACCAAGCACTTATATTGTAACATTTAAATATGAAAGCTCTGTCCAGCATGCATATTCCTCACCTGGGTTTTTCACAGAAATAATTTATAGTACAGATTAACAACATGGTTGATCTTACCATTTCAACTTACCATTCCATTGGAATTATTTATTCCATTCATATTAATTTTAGTTACAAATCTAACTGTAGGAGGTGCTTCTGGATATTTAGGTCCACACTCTACTTTCAGACTGTATATTCTGTTTTCATAGTTTGTCTAGAAAGCAAAGAGATAGACTAATGCATCTTACTGAAAGCTGAATATTAATTAAAAAAAAAAAAACAAAGCAACTGCAAGAGGAATAAAGATTAAGAAATATGAACTAGTGATAAATCTGTTAATATTATGTATAAACTGATGGTCTTGGATTATTGATTGATATTCCACTGCTTCTGTATATTGATTACTTGATGAATATGTATGAATTACACTACTTACTGACTACATCATACCAAAGTTTTAATAGAATACAATTATCTTTTTAATTCACATTTACTGTTATCCTTCTTTCCCCCCTGCATTCCCAAAACAACTTTGGAACAGTAGGGGGTTGAGATTAAAATCAAGAATCTTTAGGAAAATTACCGCTTTCCCCCATTAAAAAAAAAAAAAAATCTAACACTGCATAAAAATTGGAAATGGAGAAAGACAAGGATACCAATAACCCAAAAGTTAAGAGACAACCAAGAACAAGATGAAAATAGTATTTGCAAAAAACGTATCTGTAAGTAATTAACACTCCAGAAGATATTTAAGACTTTCATAGCTGAGGATTACTTGGTTTACTAAATGATTTATGAATTTTAATGTCCAAATTGACAGCTAGTTTGTAGAAGACACTACAAATTGACCATGGAACAGGTCACTCTAAGTGCAAATATATTTTGAGAAAGTCCAATTAGAAACAAATGTGGTTCTACCTTTTTTTTTTTTTCATTTTTTCGAGTAGGCCATGCACAAGAAGAAGTATCCATGGCTTTGCTGGTCACTGATGCACATGCCTCTGTGCTCCACAAGTCAGACAAACCAGTTTCTAGACCTGTCTTTCCCTTGGCACAACAGATACAGATAACACGAACTAAAACCAGTAACATGCCTCTCAACTTTCCAGAAGTAACAGCACTTCTGCTTTTTCAGTAATACTACATTGCCATAAGTAATGATACTTTAAAGCTGTTCTGCATCCCAGGTGTCATTCTCTCCAACTAGAAGTGTCAACCACACAGTGAAGTTATCAAAAGACAGTCCACTCTGCGATCAATTAAAAGGCAGAGCAGAAAGCAGACTACTGAAGCACCCTGACCATGTCCTCTGATTTGGAGAAGCCACAGAGACCAAGCAGCAAGTGGGTCAGAAAGAAAACAAGGCAAAGCAGGACATCTTTTGTTAGAAAAAAGGTTTTCTGTTATTTTTTTCCCATTAAAAGCTAAAGGCCCAATAAAAGTGACCTTGTCCTGCTACAGGTAACATAGCAGCTACCACAGCCAGAAAACACAGTAACAAAAATTCTCATTATTCACTCAGAACAGTTTCCTTCCCCTGAGAGGGATGCTGTCAGTTATAGTGGAAATAGACCAAAATGTATATACACTGCTCACTACTCTGAAAAATCAAAAGAACAGCACTCATTCTCATTCCTTTATTCCTATCCAGGTGGCTTCTCAATTCTGCTCAGTTTTTCAAGTCAGTTTTACCGCAATCCAAGCATCCCTGGCCAGTTCCCCCAAAAGCCTAAACACCCCTTCTTTTGTGGGTCAGAAAAATATCTCCCTTAATCCAAAACAAACCTTCCCCTTCTCCTTCCATCTTGGTCACTGATAAAGCAAGAAGCTTTCAAATGAAGCAAGAAAAAAAATAAATCAAAAACCCAACAACTGATAAGCAATTTTTGCACAGCTCTAGAGAAGCCACATAGGTGAAGAACTTCATGCTGTGGACAGCGTTAGCTACTTTCTCTGTGTTCTGCCTAACTGCACACTGCCTACACAACCGAGCCAATTCCAAAACCACCCATCTTCTATAAACCCTGAAACTGGATATGCAATACTTTTTAAGGTGTCTCCAGAGGGCTTGGGAGTTGGTGGCTTTCACTATCTACAATCACCACAAGTCATTCTGTCAGCAAGACTTCATGTCCCTGAAATGGCCCAAATTATTACTTGTGTGCACTCCTTCATAAAGAAAATAAAGTGACAGCAATATAAATTCAGGTAAATTTGAAGTGCTTCCCAGCTTGCTTTGGTTTTGTGGGTTTTTTTAAAACACATAGGTCCCTACATAACAATCATTCCCTTCAAAGATGTGTTAGGATTCTACCTTAGGTTGAACCAGAAACTAGTCAGAAAGTTCTGGAGTCTGTTTGGAGAGCCAGGGAGCCACTACTTTAATTAGTTTACAAGTTCTTTTGAAAACCCAGAAGACTACAAACTTTCTTCAAAATGTATTTAAACACTGTGATTGCACAGAAGCTAGTTTTCATAGCATACTGTCGTTGAATTCGTTCTCTCTCAAACGTACCCAAGTCTTTAGAGCTCAGCACAATTATGCAGATGTCCAAGACAGTCTGCCACAAATTGCAACTAACTCTGACTGCCAAGAGCAGTTTGAATCACACCAAATCTAACTCTGGAAGACGTTATCTTCACTGAGGCCAAATTCTGATGTCAGTTCATGTCTTAGATAGTTCTTCCAATAAGCCCTACTACTGAAGGACACACAAAATAGTAACCTCATGTTAGCAGTGAAAGACATATGCTTAACTTTGAGCTACTTGAAGTGCACTCATTTAAAGTTCTCATTTACACAGTGATCTTTTGTATCATATTGTAACTTCTCATGAGAAAGCCTGCACAGAAGTCAAGTAAAGGTGTGTCCACTCATATCTGATGAGGCTGATACTCAGGCACCAGAGACAATTACTTCTCTTGCAGGTTTTATCAGCCTAGATGACATTCTACAGCATTTAAAAGGTCAGAAGGATCTGACCTTTGTGTATGTATTTTATCTTATTAGAGGCAGTATAAAATTGCTTGGTCTTTAGGCATGATTCAACTGAAAAGCATAAACTGCTATACTGAAAGACTACTTGATAAAATTTGTGAAAGTTGAAAATACATTGCCAGTTTACTACAGAACTGAAATTACTAGGCACATATGATGAAACATGGAAAGACAGTTACCCTGCTTACTATACTATCACTGTACACTTACGTGCAGTAAGAGTGGAAATACAGACTGAATATACTCCTAACTCAGTAATAAATTTCAAATCACAACTGGCGTATAGAGAGACAGCTGCAGAACCATGTACCAGGGAAGGCCAGACTAAAAACACTAAAATGCCAGGAAGTGATGAATTCCAACATGAATATACAGTGTTTCTACAACTTAATGCATAGATTTTTAACTAATTCCTTAACACTGTAGCAAAGGAATTTTTTTAATTATTTTTTTATTTTTTGCAATTTGTATTGCCTACAAACTTAAAAAACCCCACTTTGAATTCATCACACTTACCCTCGGTGGCCCAATAATCATTCCTGTCCACCTGGTGAGTGTCATATCTTCATCATCTTCAAGGCCCCAGCTTACTGTACCATCACCTACTCCTTTCTGCCCTTCTTCAAGTTCTTCCAACAAGCGAAAATTACGAGGTACTTTAACTAGAGAAAAGGGAACAATGTAATCAATACTGCTGACATCGAGGAAATTTCATTGCTTTTATATGTAATGCACTAGCAACTGCTGAATATACTTTCAAAGCCAAACAAGTATTTCCTGTGTGAATTTATTTCACACTCAAATTGTTTAGAAGCAACTAACCACTTCACTAGCAGCTAGTTACTACCAAATGACAGCAATGCAAACTATAAAACAGAAAATAAGAAAGCTCTCTTCAGTTTGAGATGGCTTAATTCAGACTCTCTTTCCCAAGCATAGCACTGTTTACAGCCAGTACATTTAAAAAATCAATTCACTGTCTGTCAAGTTCTACTCAACTACAATCAATATGAAATTGATGTGGCAAATTCCCTCCAAAAATAAAGAAAGCAACATTTAACAGCAATTATCTTAATAAAGGCTAACTACAAGAGAAAGAACAAAATATTTTCACTTGATTTCATCTGATTAAAAAAGCAGCTTAGTATCTGAAAACAAATCAAAAATCAAGTCTTTTTTAATGTAGTAATTATTATTCCCACTTAACAGAGAAAAAAATACAAAGCCCAGAAACATTGATTAACTTATTAAAGAGAGATAATGACATATTCACAACAGAATATGAAGATGTACTGCCTCTAAAAAGAGCCAAGTAATATTCACTTACTGAGCTATAATTACTGGATTTTGATTATTATACATGAAAACAGACAGATACTGATAGGTATTAAACAAATGGATGCTTCATTTCTTTACATCACAAGCTAAAATAGTATTTCAGCACTGATGTAGAGAACAAAGCTAATTAACACTTGTGCAATCTTGGTATGCTTTTATTTTCAAACAAAAAATGCACAATGATGTAGTAGCAATATTACAACACAATAAAACTTCAGTTTTCTTATAGCTGCTTATAGCTGTTTTTTTCTTACAGCTACTTACAGCTATAGTGTTTTCCGTTATTTTTACTAGAGCCCCTTTCTTGTACTGGAAGAATCCAGGTACTCTAAAACTCTAAGACTGGGTATATACAAAGTTGTGAGCAAAGAATACATACTATGCAAGTTTGAAAGAGGTGGAGGTCAAAGATTTTCTTATAGCTGCTTATAGCTGTTTTTTTCTTACAGCTACTTACAGCTATAGTGTTTTCCGTTATTTTTACTAGAGCCCCTTTCTTGTACTGGAAGAATCCAGGACAAGGGGTAATGACAGCTTTCCAGTACCTTAAGGGGGCCTACAGGAAAGGTGAGAAGGGACTCCATCAAGGAGCGTAGTGATAGGACAAGAGGCAATGATTTTAAAAGGAAAGAGGGGAGACTTAGATTAGATTAGATATTTGGTAGAAATTCTTTCCAGTGAGGGTGGTGAGGCACTGGAACAGGTTGCCCAGAGAAGCTGTGGATTCCCCATCCCTGGAAGTGTTCAAGGCCAGGCTGGATGGGGTTTTGAGCAACCTGGTCTGGTGGAAGGTGTCCCTGCCCAGGGCAGGGGGGATCGAAGTCCATGATCTTTAAGGTCCCTTCCAACCCAAACCGTTCCATGATTCTATGAAAACTGTTTTCTATATCATTGGGATGTTTTCCATATCACTGGGATTTCAGGTTTTACCAACCCAAACCGTTCTATGATTCTATGAAAACTGTTTTCCATATCATTGGGATGTTTTCCATATCACTGGGATTTCAGGTTTTACATTATCCTAGTCTGTATTCCAAGCAGTCTCTTTTTTCTTTTTTTTTTTTAAGTAACACAGACGAGGGAAAGGCTCCTAAAAATTGCAGAAACAATTGTCTCCAAGTTCTCCAAATTCCCAGGGAAAAACATAAAGAATATAATATCAGGACAGCACAAGGAAATTATATCACTCATCTATGGCCTCACCTTCCTTCCTGCTTTGGTATTGCCACTTATCTCAGCACATAATGAGCTACTTCAGCTTGCTAACTGAGCAGAAAATTATACATTTTGGTTAGTCTCCTGACAGCTTAACAAACCAGCCCAGCTCACAAAGAGATCTGACAAGTACTAGCATGAAAGTGCAGCCATAGCAGCAAAAACTCAGATAACCTCCATGTAAAAATATATTTTAATGGAGTTAGACTACTGTGGAAGCTTGTTTTTACAGATAAGAGCGCACATATGATTACCTGAAAGTACTAACACAGTACATCAAGGAGAAGATAATTTCTCCATACTTTAGCGTAGATCCTTTTTAAAAGTTTCACTGACATTCATTTGCCCATTTCACTGGTCCCATCCTGGCTTGTTATTATAATTAAAACCGCACATTTACATATCTAATTCAGACTAGGGATAATAACTGACAATCACAGTTCTTTCACATTACAGAGGACAAGGTTTTTACTTTTGCTTCAGACTCTGATTAATGCTAACCTTTTAAAATAAGCAAACAAACAATCAAAAGCAGCAGGATAAACTTCTACTAAACTTCTTGTTTTGCACTGTATGACTGAATAGCTTTTGATTGGTACATGGAGCCCCATACAAACAAAAAAACCCTGAAATCAGGCCCCATCCCCAAACCCCATGTACTTCAGCATCCAGTGATTATTTTAGCCTATCCCAGTGGCTTAAATCCACCATTTCTCAGAATTCTTGTTCTGACTGCAGAACTTCAGATTTCTAGTTACCTCTTTAAAAAGGACATAAAAGAGAGCAGCAAACAGGCTCTATGTTTATTTCTGATCACCTGTTATCACCTTGCAGTGCAGCTGAGATGACCAAACTGCTCATTGTCAAGACAAGAGGTTCCATGCCTTCTCCCAAAACTCTGTTGCTCTTGCACTAACCAGGCTCTTCTATTAGCCAAACTGGCACACTAATTTAGCAAAAAGCTGTTTTTCCTTTAGGCAAAAATCAAATCCAACCAGTTAATCAACCAAATTGACTCAGGAAGAAAGATCAACAAATACCAGAGCTGACTGCTGTGTCTTTCAGTGCCTTTCTTTGCAAGCCAGGGGTGTGGAGACAAGGGAGCACTTTGTGGCAAAAAGCCCTTGGACTGGCTCAGTTGTATCATAAAATTGTATGACCTGACAGTTATTAGAAAAGAACAACCCCTTATGACTAACTGTCGTGTGTTCATCACATTTTTTCCACTACGTTGCCTGTGCACACTAGTCCCCTAACAGCCCAGAGGGAACAGTGAAGGACTTGGGAAACCTCCAGAACATCTCCAGAAAATAATTTAGATACGCTCTGAAAAGAGACAAAAACATCTGACAGCAAGTGCCAGGCTCCCCACACTAACTTTCCTATCAGTGCTAGAACTATGTAGCAAAACATTGGTCTGAAGTTAAAAATAAGAGTCAAAACACTTAGTGTTTTAAAAAAAACCCACCAAACAAACAAACAAACCTCACACCACCCTACTAAGATTCCAATTAAAAATAAGAGTCAAAACACTTAGTGTTTTAAAAAAAACCCACCAAACAAACAAACAAACCTCACACCACCCTACTAAGATTCCAATCCATAAAAAACCTCCCAGAAAAAAAAAAAATATATTAGTTCTCAAATAAAACTGGACCAAAGTTATGTTCAAATAGGATCTGTTTCAGAAAGTTACATAGTCCTACAACATTTGACTCTAATCCAGACAAAACAATTCACCAAATATTTGCCAAAGATTTTGAAATACTCCTTTACGGAATCTGCACAAGAGTATTTAATTTACAGAAGTTGGACAGTGAAGCAACATCCTTCTGTACTAGTTTGCAGCTTATCAGCAATAGGAAATTACAGAAACTCCTGTCCTTCAGTTGGCTACCAGACCTCAGGTGTACCTTCTGGAACAAGTAGTGGCAATCGAAGAGAGAAAGGCCCCTAGCTTTTCACCACCACGGACCTGCCAAATACTGTCCACTCCAACTCCACTTGCTGATGGGACCACTAACTGCCTTCAGGAAAGCACGGACAGAATCACACAGGGTTGGAAGGGACCTCTGGAGACCATCTAGTCCAACCTCCCTGCCAAAGCAGGTCCACCTAGAGCAGGTGGCACAGGAACACGTCCTTGCGGGTTTTGAATGTCTCCAGAGAAGGAGACTCCACCACCTCCCTGGGCAGCCTGGGAGAAGTTCCTGGCAGCCAGAAGTTCTGACCTGGCAGCCAGAAAGAAGTTCCTCCTCATGTTTAGGTGGAACTTCTTATATTCAAGTTTGTACCCATTTCCTCTTGTCCTGTCACTGGGCACCACTGAAAAAAGACTGTCCCCATCCTCTTGAAACCCACCCTTTAAGTATATGTATGCATTGATCAGATCCCCCCTCAGTCTTCTCTTCTCTAGACTAAAAAGACCCAAGTCCCTCAGCCTCTCCTCGTAAGAAAGATGCTCCAGGCCCCTCATCATCTTCATAGCCCTCTGCTGTATGCTCTCCAGCAGTTGCCTGTCCTTGAACTGGCTATAAAACCAAATCTTAACATGGACCCAAGAACAAGTTCTATCAGTAAACTACATGCTAACACAGCTAGGATACTGTCAGGGAAGCTATTCTTCCTGTCTGAGATAGCTATGTCAGGAAAAGTCTGTAGAACAAACAATTTTGAATGTATGAGTTTTGTCCATTGACTTCCACCTAACAGAAACTGAAAAAGTATGTATAGTTGGGTAACAAAAAGAAAAAACTCTCAAACCCCATTTAACAGCTTCAGAGTGGCAGAAAAATAAGTATTTTTTGATGACAGGGAAGAGGGGAGGGATGCAAATTCTAAGCCATAACACAATTTCTCCTGGGGCAGGGAGGGGAAGAAATACAAAATTCCAAAGAGAAACACACAGAAAATAACAGGTTCCTTTCAGCCTGAAAAACTCAGAATTCATCTTGCTCTGGACAAAATAAAGCAAGAAACTGAAATACTCTACTAACACCACCACCACACATCCACAAAAAGAACATAAAACAACCAAGGCCTTAAATAGGCCCTGAAATGGATGATGCACAAAAAGGAAAGGAAAGGGAAATGCAAAATGCTAACATAT